CCGAAGGAGCACACGGTGCTGCCACAGGACTCTGCGGGGAGAGAGGAGAGGTGACACATCGTGGGGACCTTTGCAGCCAACTGCCCGGTGCCCTCAGAGGCAAGGAGAGAATCCCAGAGAGGATTTATTGTTATCTAATGTTATCTAAACCGTGCAAAGGCTCTGCAACGGGCAGGTACCAGTCCTGAGCATTTCTGATCCTCATCTGTACCCACAGGTTTTGTGTCCAACAGTTTTCTCTAGGACACCAGTAAGAAATCCCACGGTGTATTCTGTCTCCTCCCGCTCGCAGTGCCCAAGGAGCATCGAGAGTCATTGTCACACCCTGTCGTTCACTCTCCCAAATTTAGAGAGGGCTTCCACGCGCGGTTCAGAGACCCAGCTGGACAGGTTTTAAGAGGCACAAAGCATTTCTCTTACTGAAACAGCATTTGTTCTAATGAAGAACCTAAGCAGGGCTTTCAATTCATTAAGAAATTAGCACAGGCAGTTCCCTAGGCTGGGGAACGGGGAGGATGAGCGAAGAGGAATTAACCCCAGGGGATGGAGGGAAGGGAAAGCTACTGAGATGAACTGTGTGATCAAATAGATCCTCAATGCTTTCAGTTCTGGTGGTAGCTATTAACATGCTTTTAGTCCAATTTCTTTGCTTGGCTCAATGGACATTAGCCCAATTTCTTTGCTTGGCTCAGGTAAGTAATGAAAAGGGCAGATACCAGCTGTGATGCATAGCAGGGGCTAAAAAAGAAGATGCTTCAGAGACTCAAGATGCCCAATATTTGTAAAGCTGAAAGGGAAGACCACACCAGACAAGATGAAAAACCTCAGGCAGGGTCTCCTAGTGACCAGCCAAGAACTGCTGGGTGTCCCTGGGCAAGCTTTGTTTCTCTGGAGCTGATTTCCTCCTGGAAAGGTCCTGAAAACAACCAACAAAAGCACCAGGAGAAGTGCTAAGGAGACCCTCCATGCATCCTGACCCCAGAGTTTCTCTGGTGCCTCCCAGGGCTGGCAAACCCACGGGCTGCAACTGCTGCAAACAACCGGTGAGCCTCGGACGGATGAAATGCCACCAGCAAGAGCTCGACGGGAGAAGAAGGGGACTTTGCCAGACTCACTGCAGTCTCCTTGGGCGGCCACCAAAATGTTCGTCTGCTGCGTGCATGCCCGGACGTGGAGCTCGCACTCGCTGCCGTACGTGTTGCCGTCGGTGCCGCACACGGGCTGTGAGGAGGGAACGCACTCCGTGGGGCACACGCCCCTCCCCGTCTCCGCCTCGCAGATGGCCCCGAACTGGCACTTGCCGCAACGGTCTGCGCAGACGAAGAAACAAAACCCACAGGTGAAGGCAACGGGTCAGGCAGGCATCGCTCAGGGAGTGCCCGAGCAGAAATAAAACCCCGCTGCGACCTCCTCCCCCAGGTGCAGCCCCTGGAGCAGGAGCCCCAGGGAAAGGAAGGAAAGCAGCAGAAAGGCAATAACTGCTCGTAAAAGCCATCAGAGCCAGGAGTAACGGTGATGAAATGTCACCGGAGCTGCCTGCCGTTACAGCTAAACAGGAGGCAGGAGAGAGCGCGGGGCTGAGCGCAATATTCGGAGGAGCGATAAATCAGTCCCAGCCTTGGGCGGAGGGCAGCAGCCCCGGCAGCCAGAATCCCAGCGGGGAGAGCAGCAGGATTCACACGGGGCAAGCCAGCAGGGCGGGAGGAGGTGGTCGGCCGGCAAGGGGGGGAACTGCCTTCCCCTAGTTTATCGGGGTGCTGGGCGCACGTACAACACAGCATCAGCTTGCAGCAACCTGCCAACTCCCGCCGCGGCAAACACACGCACGCAAGGCTTGGGGCAGAGAAGACGTTTATCTTCGTAATAATTCACTCGCAAAGGAGCTATCAGTCGTTGCAGGAGAGACCGGACCCCAGCCAGCACATCTCCGGACTCCTGAGTGTTTAAGTGATTCATGGCTTCATTTTCTCCTTCAGACAAACACCCCTCTTCCCTCCCTGCCATTCAGTTCACAAGGAATTTGGCTCAAAGACGGTTTTCCCTTCTTTTTCTTTCACATGGCAGCTGCTGCCTTTGCATGGGGGAGGGAAGATGCAGCAGCCCCCTGCTCGGTGTGTGCAGACTGTTGGCCGGGAGGTTTCCATCTACGCACAAAGCTTGCGGCCACGCCGGGGCTCTGCGGGGTGCAAGAGGGGCAGGTTGCGTGCGGGCAAGGGCAGCTCTTTCTTACATGTGCCCGACAGCCAAAGTATCTGCATCCTTCACTGTTTCTCTCATAACTACTTGGGAGTCAGTACCAGCATTTTCTTCCAGTGTGAATCCCACCAGCCCCTCTGCTACAGCAGGGAGCTTCACCGGCTGGAGGGCTTCTCCCCTGCCTTGCAAATCTTGGGTGAGGAGGAAGGCAGCGTTCAGGCTGGCTACTGGATTCCCTCCCAACATGTCCCTCCTGCTGAGCCTGCTTTTTTTTTAAGCCAGGAACCCAGGGGAAAACGAGCTCCCCAGACAGCAGCCGCTGCAGGAGGTGCCGGAGGGTTTCCCCAACACCCTAAAGAGGCAGCACATGAGCCGGGCAGGCTCTCTCCTGCCCTCTTGGCTATATGGCAGCTAGCAAAGCACAACTACGACCCAAAAGCCTTTGCCTCCCTGTACCCAGGGCCACATTCGCAATGAAGACGCCACCCGCTTCCCAGCGAGCAAACCCGAGCTGCGGCCAAACATCCCGAAGAGGAAGAACCCCCAGCCATGGGCTCTTACCGCAGGGCCCCTTGTGCTTCACTTTGATCTCTCTCTTGAGGACACAGGCCATGGAGTCGAGCTCACAGGGGTTGCCATAGGTGCGGTTGTCAGTGCCACAGACGGGATCGTAGCGGCCCTGGCACACCTGCTGGCACTCGCACACGGCCTCCTGGTTCTTCACCACGCACGTGGCCCCGAAGGTGCACTCCACGCTCAAGCACGGGCTGGGCGTCCCCAGATCTGCAGAAGGGGGACAGGAGAGAAAGGCACCGGTCTCAGTCCCGCTGCGTGCTCAGCTCTGGCAGGGCACCGTACACAGCAACGCATGCCAGCATCCCCCAGCCTCCCCCAAGCCGTGGCAAATGCACAGAGCTCTTGGCTTCGGCGCCAGCCCAGCCCCTGCACCCTCCATGCCACCCCGACATGCCCGGCTCAGCATCTTCCCCATGCTTGGCAGAGGTTAGGGATGGGAAACAGGCACAAGGTCTTCTCCCTGCAGACCACGAACCAGACTCCTGCCTCATCTCTCCCATTCCCATCCCCATCCCAGCTATGATTCCTATCCCAGAAGAGGGATCAGCCCCGAGGGTTTCTGCACCAAACCCTGATGTCGGGGTCTCTCCAGCAGCTCACGGGCAGCATCAAGGACAAGTGTTATGTGCTGAGGGAGAGGAACACAGACTGAAGCCCCTTGTAGCCCGGGGAGTCGGCACTTCTTTTGCTGGGCAGTAGCGATGCCATGAGCCTGTCTGCAAAGCCAGATTTGAACAACCAGCTCTGCGGCAGAGGGCAGGGCAGGAGGGAGCAGAAAGCCTTCCTCAGCATGGGCCTCGGTGCCTCCAGGCCACCCTCTTCATCATGATGCAGCACCTGGAACCGGCTGCCGAGCCCTCAGTAGCCCAGAAAAGACTCACACAGGGATGGTTCGCTTTACCTCACATCCTCAGACTCAGACTGCCCCCTGAACACCCTCTGTGGCAATACCCAGGAAGACCCGGCTGGAGAGGACACCTGCATTTGGCTTCACCACATAGCCTGTCTCTCCCCAGCAGTTCAGCTCCCTTCCCCTCCTCTTGCAAGGCGGTGTTGGAAAGCCCACGGAGCTGCCCTGCGGCAAAATGAAGAGACCTGGTGTCCTTGCTTCGACTCAGTCCTCGGGCATCTGGCTCCAGAAGCAGAGCCCCAAGGCTCCCTGGGGATGGGTAACGACCCACAGCATGAGAGGCAGAAGTCCCCTCTGCTCACAAGCTGGAGCTGCTTAATCAAAGTCAGCTGAGCAGGTGGCACCTTCCCTGCAAGATGCCCAAGGAGCGATGCGGTGAGCGGCCAGCCCTGATGGTGACAGAGAAGAGGCTGCATCCGACTCCCTGGTACCGCTCTGCAGCTGCTTGCAGGGAAAGCTCTGCAATTCCACCCAGTCAAAGATGAGCATGTCCCTCCAGGAACGTCCTCCACCACCCAGAAGTCAAGACAGGCAGCAAAAAGGCAGAGCTGGCCGTGCTGCTGGGGAGAGACCCAACACTGCCCAGCGAACCCTTCTTGTGCTTCACGACAAAAGCCTGCAGGACCCAGGCCAAGGGAAGGACACAGATTT